TTGCATTATCGAAATCTACTGAAAATTTGGACATTTGCAGATTATTAATTCCTTACCGTCTACCATCTGCAACAACAGCAAGGCAATATATGTTGCCTATTTTTTAGGTTAGTCAATCCTATAATGAGTCAGCAATTTTTATTTTTCAAATCTCTGGAGTTAATTATAATATCTTGAGCAACGATTATTGTCGTCTAAATATTCTGATTCTCAGAGTAACTATGGCGTTTATGGATTAGAAATACTTTCTGTCGTCCTGCATAGTTAGTGAATATAAAAGATGAGAAACTCATAAAGAATTGTTTGGGACCAATTACGTAATGGGATAATGCCTTCAAAAATAGACATATTATTTGAATAAAATAAATATACTAAAACGTGAATACTCAAAATACAGAAGAACGTTGTTCAGCTATGATGGTAAGCTAGCTAATCGATCGAAGGTACAATAATAACAAAAAACTGTAAGAGAATCAAAGTGGTTTTTATTTCAATCACGAACCGATATAAGTTAGGCCTCAAGCAAATTTAGCAATCTCTCCACCACATATTTATAGTTATCGTGTGTTCACCAGAGATTAGTTAGGAGAGAAAATTTGTGAAATTTTTTTGTGAAACCCTGATCGCTGGAGTTCAAATGTGTAACATGTAAGGAACATACTCATCACATACACTGCAAGATCTCAAAGTTACATAAGTGCACCATTGGATTACGGCTCATTGGTAAGAAGGTTATTCATTCACACTCGAAACTGAAGGACATGACTTCAATCTCTGTTTGTGGAGTCGTGGATGAACACTCCTGAGGCGTCCTATAATGAGACGAGGAGGTTATCCAATGTTCCCTAGTTTTTTATTGGTTGTCTTACTTAGATCGGTTCAAAATCTTATTAATATTCAACGATCACTACCATTTCTTTACTGGTATTGGATAGATGTTAATTCCTGATACCGACCACTTTCGGAAGTCTAAAATCAATTTACGTATGTATTCGACAAGTATTCTTATCTTACCGAAAGTCGTACCATAGAAAACCAAAGAAATATTAGAAATTGAATATATATCAATAAATTTTTTATACAATTCACAACATTCTTTAAAACATAACGACAATCTAAGAATGTTGATAGTTGAGATCATAAATAATTGAAACTAGACCACCATAAAAAAAACCTGGAAACACTGGCCTGGCGTTTCGTCCTATTATGGGACTCCTCATCAGTGCACGTCCACGATCCCGCCTTGCGAGATTCGAACCCAGAACCTATCAGTTTCGTGCACGAGCGCTTAACCACTAGATCACTGAGCCAGCATCCAACAGTGTATGTATCAACTGTTCACGTTGAAATTTAATGAAATTATTTATGAATAATCATGCAGTTACAAATTTATCTTTCAAATACAAAATAAAGACTTCATTCAGACAATCAAAGTTTAAATGGTTTGAAATAAATTTTATGGTTGGCGTCTTTTAGAGAGTTAGTTTTTCTACAGGATGGGGTCGCTAAACCGATGCCCAACCCCCCTTCATTACCCGGGCTTGGGACCAACAGTAACTGTAGAAGAGCTACAGGTGGAGTTAGACAATCAAAGTAATTCATCTTTCCTGACTGCTAGCTAACTGAAACTGTATATACAGCAATAAAGGCTTTAGTGCAAAGAAAATTTAATGTATTTTATGTATTTTTATGTCATATGGTAAGTACTACAGAAAAGTTTATTTTGTACGGAAGAATAAAGTGTTAAGGAAGAGTACTAGGTTAAGGTCAACGTGTTTTAAAAACAGAAAAAAAAAATCGGTATGAGTAAAAATTCTGTTTTGATGAAGTTTGTGTATGTTGTCGAACTAGTAAGTAAGTACATTGACATAGTGCTAGGAAATACATTTTTTTGTAATTAGACTAATGTATTATAAGCATTAACAGTTGTGATAGTTGTACAACTTCACTTTGATTGTCAAATAAACTAGGTAACATGTTAAAATGTCAGCAACAATATTTAGAAAGAAATGAAATAAATTGCCAACTACTTGACAACAAAACACTATAGTGCATTAATTTAGGTCACAACTCTCTCTCTCTCCCTCCCTCCCTCTCTCTCTCTGTATATATATATATATATATATATATATATATATATATATATATATATATATATAACATTGGTGGCCTGTTTAAACATCTGGGCTACCTGTTCCTGTCATCTAGATATTTCAACAACTTACCTAATTTCGTTTGTTTTAATACAACATGATGCCCATTAGTCGCACAACCTATTCAGGTGCGTTTCTGAAAAGTGTAAGACTTTTCGCTGTAAAGGTTATAAAAGGCCTAATTAGAGATATCGTGGTTGCTGGCAATATGCAACGAAAAGAATGTACATTATCCAGATGTCGATTAACTGGGCTGCTAACTTCTAACCGGCGATCACTCAATATTCATCGTCAGGAAGGATGAAGAAGTAAGAAACGGAAACTTGTTGAAGTACTTTGTGCTGAGAATTCTATATTGTACCAAAAATATAATATTGAATAAAGCTAATAATAATAAAAAAATAATATATATATAATGCTAGTATAAAGGATCTGAACTAAAGGAAATATAAAGAAAAAGATCGTAAAAGACATTCACAAACTGCCTCCTAGACTCGATTTCGCAGAAAAGGCTTAAATTGATTGAATTTCACTAAATTTCGTACTTCTTACCCATCGCAACTCGATAATCGTATACATAATAATATGATAAATTCTAACTGAATCCATACTTTGAAAGAAATAAGTACTTTGATATTCTGATAACTAAATCGAATGTTCTGTTTTACTTACTTACTTACTTATTTAGTTACGTCTATTACCCCTCGTAGAGGAGCATAGGCCTCCAATCAGCATTCTCAATCCAATTCTGTCTTGACCAATGCTTTCCAGTTGTTTCCAGTTCCTATTCATCCTTTTCATGCCTGCTTTCAGTTCCCCATTCAGTGAATTCTTCGGTCTTCTTTTTTTCGTTTTCCTTCAGGTTTTCAAGTTATCGCTTGCTTCATGATGCAGTTTGGTGATTTCTGTAACATATGTCCTATCCACTTCCATTGTCTTTTCCTAATTTCCTCTCCTGATGGAAGCTGGCTCTTTCTCTCCCACAGTAAGCTATTGCTGATGGTATTTAGTCGACGGACATTGATTATCTTCAGTAGACAATTGTTTATGAATATTTGTATTTTTTTGATGATGATTATGGTAGTTCTCGAAGTTTCAACTCTGTACAGTAGGACTGTTTTTGAATTTCATATTGAGAATCCTGATTTTCATATTGATTCTCCAACTGTAGGAATTCTGTCTGTTTTACCAAATTATTCTATTTTCATATAACACATTTTAGTTCATATGAATTTACAATTCAACTCAACTCAAAAAATTCAGTTGAATAACAGCTGCTCAGAAAAATGTTTAAGGTAATGGTAAATGTATAACTTATATAGTAAATTCCATACAGATCATATGCATTGGATGTGTAATCAAAATGATATTCGACAAAGGCAACACCAGAGTATTCTTTTCGAAACATCAAACAGACTAAGAAACAATCCCGATTCTTGTGAAAGATACAAGAGTCAATGAATCATAGTTTTCTTGTGCTTGCATAATAATGTGTTCGGACTACGATGCAATATATATCGGACAGATTTCTCAAGAACCTAAGCTCAGAACAAATAGACCCTGTAGAACTGTTATTTATCTTTTACGAAATCTTTCATCTCAAGTCTACAGTGGATTGATTTTAATAGTACTACAAAGTAGTGAAGAAATGTTTTAAAAATCAGTAGTGTATCATAGCACAAACACTTCACATAAAGTGTATTTAAAACTAAATTCACTTAGTATTGTTTGTTTGAATCTTTCCATTGATGATTATAGCTGCAACTGGTCAGTTTCTAATTGGCATATGTGCATACTGTGCGTATTGCCTCGATATAGCCTTAATTCACAATCATTGTAAGCAAAGATGGATGAACATCAACTCTAAGATGCAGGTACATCCATCTGACGAGTCCCAAATAGGACAAAACGCGCGTCCAGGATTCTACTGCTATCCACTATCCATCTTTGCTTACAATGTATTTAAAATTGTTTGAATAATAATAAAAGGATTAAATAAAATATAACCTGCATTTTTACACTCCTCACATAAATTTACACTGTCAGCACAAATATGATGATAACTTTTCTTTATATAAACAAAGGCTTCTTTTGTGATTCATATGCTTATTAGACCTAACAATTTACACATGTTTGTTCTCTTTATCGATTCAATCACTCAATAACTAAGAATGACTTCATGCAGAAGAAATTTAATCCAGTTAGCGAATATAAATAAACTAAGATAAAGCTGTTGGGATTAAGTGGTAAAAAGTCAGTGAAAATATTTTTCTTTCTTCTCACCAGATTGTGGATACTCACTACTGAGTATTCCTATTTTAGAATGAAACTGTTGTCCAATGCTTTTTAACTCTTACTGATCATTGAACTAAGATCATACCGGGATGTTTATGTGAAAAACAATCTATGCATTCAATCATGTATTAATTTAATTTAGAGAATGATTGTCGGTAGACATCTATTAGGAATGTTTGTTGATCTACAAAAACCATGCCTGTTAATTTATGATGACTTTTTGTTTTTTTCGACTGAAAAAAACCTTTATTTAAAAATGATGGAGTAGTGGATTTGTTGACAGTGCATTCGGTTTTCCATCACCAAGTAACGGGTTTAAAGCATACACATAGAATTGTTCGGTTTGACCACCTGAATAATAATGAATAGCTCTCGTACAAATGACATTTAACTAAAATCTGAGTATATGAATCTAAACATAAGAATCGAATTATAACTAGAACAAATTTACCATGATGATCATTCTCTCCGTTTGACTTTAATTATACTACTTACATTCATTCTATTCAATTTTCATATTATTTTTTGTGTGTCTATTTTTCCCATTGATAGGAGTTTCATTCGACGAAAACAATTATTGAAAAGAAGAAGAAATCCTAAATACTTATATTGTTCCAAATATCCAAAATCAAAACCTATTAATCATTGTTATATTAAAGCAAATAATTCATGTTATTGGTCACCAGCTAAACCTAAACATAGTAATTCATTTTCAGTATGGTCTGAAAATCAACCATTGAAATATCATCCAAACAAACATAGAATATCTTCAATTTCATCATTGAATCAATCTAGTTCAATGATCAATTCAATACAACAGTCTCGTTTTTATCAAAGTAAAAATTATTCAAAAGATTCAAATTGTATTCATCATCTGTATAATTCATCAAACAATGTAATTAATAATAGTAATGATCGTAATTTTATGAAATATAATTATCATCAACATGGTGATATATGTGGAACAGGTAATCATATGAATACTGGTTATTTAGAACATTGTAAACGAATAAATAATACAAAATCAACAATGATGTATCCAAATTCTCAAAGGTTAATAGTGTAAGCAATATGCTTTTCATGAATTATTCTATTGAATTGTTAAATTTTCATTTGGAAGTTGATGTGTAAAAACATTTCGGACATACTTACGTATTTATGCTTGTTACTCCCAATGCAGCATAGGTTATCGACCAGCATTCTCCAACCCACTCTGTCCTTAGTTTTTCTTTCTAGTTCTATCCAATTTTTGTTCATTCTTCTCATGTCTGTCTCCATTTCTCAGCGTACTGTGTTCTTTGATCTTCCTCCTCACCTTTGACCTTCAGGATTCGATGTGAGGGCTTGCCTTGTGACGCAGTTGAGTGATTTCCTCAATGTCTGTTCTATCCATTTCCAGAGCTTCTTCTTGATTTCTTCCTCCACTGGAATCTGGTTTGTTCTCTCCCACAGTAGGTTATTGATCATAGTGTCTGGCAAACGGGTCCGAAGTATTTTCGATAAACAACTGTTAATAAACACCTGTATCTTCTGGATGATGGCTTTCGCAGTTCTCCAAGTTTCCTCCCCATACAGTAGTACTGTCTTGACATTTGTATTGAAAATTCTGATCTTGGTGTTGGTTGACAATTGTGTTGAGTTCCAGATGTTCTTCAGTTGTAAATATACTGCTCTTTCTTTTGCCGATCCGCACCTACACATCTGCATCAGATCCACTGTGTTTGCCAACGATACTGCTAAGATATGTAAAAGTTTTTACAAAACATTTCGGAGACTAACTAAATCTTCAGGCAGAAAAGTTTTCTTGTTAAAAGAAAAATAGAGAAGTATTTGCCTATATATTCAAAGAATTATCTAATATCTTGGTAACATCAACATTTTAGCTTCAAATTACTGTAATCTGATGTATTTAATTACCTAAAACTTATTTTCGCCATTTTTTCATCATTCCAGCTTTTGTTGTTCTCTTGGACTGGTTAAAATATCATAATTCAGATGCATGGCATTCATTGATTGCTTGAAGATATGTCACGATGCCACTGACCTCCAGCAGTAAAATAAACTACCGTTTTAACTAACTTTTAGTTGGCTGACCTTTTTATTTAGGCATGCCTTAGTCGATAATGAATCACGATATTTTACGTTGAAGTGTCTTATTAGTGCAGGGTTGTAGAGATAATAAACACTGGATAGCCTCCTCATCTCACTATAGGACGCCTCAGGATTGTACATTCACGACTCCACAAACACAGATCGAATTCATGTCCATCAGTTTCGAGTGTGAATGAATAACCTTCTTACCAATGAGCCGTAATACAATGGTGCACATATCAAACTTTGAGATCTTGCAGTGTATGTGATAAGTATGTCCCTTACATGTTACACATTTGAACTTGATTGATCACGTTTTCTTATTAGATTGACGGAAACGAAACAACCTTTCAGTACTTCCTGGTTTTCAACGTTCTAAATACGCTCACACCTAAACACATTCAATACAATATGAATGTATTATTTCCTGGTTTATAGTTCTACTCTAACTGTGTACGGAACTGTATCTACACAATTTTTGTACAGATCTATCAACAGCTGTCAGTAATCCTAAATTTTCTGTTTGCACACTATTTATACATTTCTGAAATTGATATTTTCAAAAGGTTGTCTTGGATATTTTTATTACTTTTCGTTATGTTTTAGACTGTTGATCTATTTGGATCTTTCTACATTTTTATTACATAATATCTTCTAGTTTTTTGATCAGCCGATTTTCTTTCTTTATAAAGAATATTCTTCATGTTGTGTAACATTTTTTTCTTGATAAACACACGTCAATATAGAAACAAGGTAGTTGAGTAAATCTGACTGATCAGAGGGCTGAAGATATATTGCAAATGCTTCAGGGATTTTTCCTACTGAAACTCACGTTTGAGGCAAAGGTTGTTGTCCGACTGTTGATAACATTTAACTAAACTAACAGTCTTTGAGGTCATTCATTAGTGAATTTTTATCATTAAATAATTTAGCATTTTTCTTGATAAAGAACTAAGATGCCATAATAATCTGACTAGTAATGAATCAGTGTATGATAACTATCTTTACACTGCATACTTCTTGTTCTCAATAGTATTGTTTCCTAGTGAAACAAATATCTCAGATTAAACCACTCCTAATGTTTAGTTTTAATTGTGTTTATTGAAGAGTATTTCATATATTGGAGAAAGGGAATTTTTCCCTTGCAATAAACATGTTAACATAGCTCCGGCGCGAAGCTGGTAAGTCCTGGGTTCGAATCTCGCGAGTGAGGGATCGTGGATGCGCACTCCTGAGCAGTCCCATAATAGGACGAAACGACCGTCCAGTGCTTCCAGGTTTTCCATGGTGGTCCAGCTTCAATTGACTCATGATGTCAACTATTAAAATATTGAAATATCCCCAAATCCTCTTCTGATCTTAATCATATGCACACTAGTGACTGACTGTAAGGAATGTTTCCTTGAGTTCTAGTGGGAAGCAGTGACCAGTGGAGTTCAACCAAGTCTGTTGTAGAGATGTCAACTCACTGAAGACGATTGGTGAACGGTTGCTCAACTTCGTGGACTAGTTGAAGTTAGACATTAACACCGTTGGATGCCTGTCAGCTCAGTGGTCTATCGGTTAAATGCTTTGGCATGAGACGGGTAGGTTTCGGGTTCGAATTTCGCGATTGCGGGATTGTGGATGCTCACTGCCGAGGAATCCCGCAATAAGACGAACCGGCCATCCAGTGTTTCCAGGTTTTCCATGATGGTCTAGCTTCAATTGACTCATGATTTCAACTATGAAAATGTATTAGAAATGATCACTTGTTAGCATTAAAGGTTAGTTAATAATTGTACAGTTATTTTAGATGTAACGAAGTATGATTATTATTAATAACTTTATTCAATATTATAATTTCGGTACAATATAGAAATACAAAGTACTTCACAAGGTTTTTGTACTTATTTCTTCTTCTATCCTGACGATAAATGTCGAGTGATCCCCAGTTAGATGTTAGCAGTTCAAGAATCAACATTATAATAATGTTCATTTTTTTCGATGCATATTGTCAGCCACTACAATGTCTCAGATAGTACGTTTTTGTAGGTTGTATGCATCTGAATAGGTTATGCGATTTATAGACATAATGATGTGTTAAAACAATCAAAAGCAGATGACTTGCTGAAATATCTAAATGCGAAGAGTAAGTAGCCCAGATATTCAAACAGGTCGCTATTAAATGAGAACTATGACCTATTAAAAAACCTAGCTCTTATGCATCTTTATTGATGTGAAAGCATATTTTCATATATAACGTAATTTGTTTTGTTATTCTACAGGCCATCGAAACAATCAAATCCTTTAGCTAAAGGAAATCAGCCAATGTTTTTCAATTCACAGAAAATCACAAATGAAAATGAAATAACAGATTCTGAAACACCTACTACTGAATTTACTGAAAGTTCAAAATCACATAAAAGTATATCACAAATTAATGTGTATCGAAAAGGCAGAAGTTTAAGTCCAGCTGATATAACTAATTCTAAAGAATCTAAATTTCTTTTTAGTCCAAAACCACGTTTTTCATTAGCTGAATCTGATGAAATGAATGATCAACCTATTGAGAATAGCCAATCGTCTGGTTTTCGTGATGTGGTAAGCTGAAGTTGTTTTTTGTTTAATAAATTAAAAAGAAAATGATTTTTGTGTGGAAATTCACTAAATTAAGATTACCTGTTCGACAATTATGTCAAATTTGTGTAATAAGCAATATAGTTGAGATCATGAGTCAATTGAAGCTAGACTACCGTCCAGTGCTTCCAGGTTTTCCATGGTCATGATCTCAACTATATAAAATAAGTTAGACATTAACACCGTTGGATGCCGGCTCAGTGGTCTATCGGTTAAGGGCTCTGGCTCGATACTGGTATGTCCTAGGTTCGAATCTCGCGATTGCGGGATCGTGGATGCGCACTGCTGAGCAGTCCCATAATAGAACGAGACGGCCGTCCAGTGCTTCCAGGTTTTCGATGGTGGTCTAGTTTCAATTGACTCATGATTTCAACAGTGAAAATATATAAAATTACTAAAATCTCCACAAAACCCCCTTTTCATAATATGCAATAGATGAAAGAGCTTTAAACCTAAAACAAATAACGTTTCAATTACGTAATCAGTCTATAACAATAGACTCACGCTTTCAACTATGATAAATCCTAATCCCCCTGGGAGATTTAACTTAAATCTTTTTTATCTGTCACATATAATAATCTTGTATAAGTGAATTTTCGAAATTAGTTTACAGAATAAGTTACCCATGATGAAGAAGAGAAATAGGGAAAAACAAACCAGAGGATAATCCTATTTGGAAATAAGGGATATAAACAAGGAAAACCATTATCAATGTTGCAACTTTATCTATTTCGTCTAGTAAATTCATAATGTTTGTGTTAAGTACGTGTGAAACCATATGAAGTTTCTAAATTTACTGTGTTTTCTTTTGTTATTGATAAACGAAGTAACATTGTTATGACTTGATCAAGGTCGTCGCTGATTCGTTATGACCTTACGAATTTAACAAGGACGTAATTCGCGTAAATTATCCACCAATTGAATACGACTTCTACGACCTTCACACTGTGACAATGACGTTCGATTAGTATGAGTAATCTAGCGTCCTTATTGGTCCTTATCCGCCTAACCCGTCCACTTGAGTCCAAAACACCAATAGAAGCCCCGGCAATACGAATCGTTTATTTCAAGCATACTTTGTTTATATATCAGACAGACAGGCCACATCATACCATAAAATAGAGAATAATATTTGTACAAAACCAGGCCAAATGAGGCTGTAAGCGTGGGAGACAATAATCAATAAAACTGAGCATAACATAGGGACAGTAAATTATATAGTAATAATAAATAGGTCAAAATAAAGCTTAGATAATCTAGTTACCTAATAGTTATACAATAAGAATGATAGTCCAATAGTAGGTCCTGCAAGTTACCCGTACTTATGTCTTCGCTACTACATAACAAACATAGCAACGTATATTTGGTTGAATTTTTATTTTAAACAATAATGATACACAACTTTAATGTTCATGATTGTAAGTACGAGATTTTCATATCATTAAAGAGATTTCATCATTGAGTCAACAGAAAGGCATTAATTTAATAACAGTGAAGTAAACTTATATTCATATACATTCACCCGATTGAATAAGCCAGTGGCTATCTGAACTCAGTAGCTATGCTAATAATGTAATTGCGTTTGAAGCGGACGATACTTGGTTTCTCTCCCGGAGTGAGCATCGACTCTGTGATGAAGGTACATCCAGATAACGAGTCCTAATTAGGATGAAACACTCGTTTTAGATTCCAGTGCTAGCCACCATCTATCTCTTCCTAAAGTGACGAAAACGATTTGAGCATTTAACCATTCTGTAGTGTGGTTCACTTATATCCATATAAGTAGTATATGGTGATGGTCAGACATAGAATGTATTTTGGCAGAAAAAACCGATAAGAAAAGAACTGAAATGAAGCGCAATTGGTAGGAAAATGCATGAACAATGGAATTAGAGAGGATGAACTGATATTTGCAGAAAGAACAGTTAGGATTGAGACATTTGATTGTTAATTTGAAAATTAACCGTTCACTGTATGGTAATCAGAATTTAGTGAGATAGTCTGTAATTTATGCTTAAATACATTCGATTGTCCCCCCCTCGTGTTCTTAATCACAACAATTCTAAAGTCACTAGATTGGAAATGTGTTTCTAGAAACCAAAAATCAGAAGTTCTAACTGGTGTAGTTCAAAAATGTTGAGAATGATACATGTATCGTTATGATCGCTGAATGATCATCATACCATAACTAGAATATACTCAGACTGAAAAAGTGCTGTACCAGATTCTTATTTACTAGTTCAAATTTATTGTGAATGCAATTTAGGCCTTCAGGCCCTGAGTACAAATATGTATTACATCATTATTAAACACTACTGACGAGCCCCAGTCTAGGAAAAAACAACGTTCTGAATCTTCATAATTTTGTTGTGGTTCACCAATTGGTGCCAATTATTGATAAAAACCATCTGTCGACGAAGATATAACCTATCTGCGATTTAAATAAATTCCATGTTATCATTTTTCAACTGAACACATCACAATAACTTATTAGAAAATGAAAACGGAAATTTTGGTCATTGATTTACCAAATCCGTGGCTAGACAGAAAAATGAACGTCCCATCAAACTACAGAAAATGATTATATTAGTGATTGGACAAATTAGATGTTCACTACTTGATTATGTTTTAGTAATCGATCATTTGAGGTCTTATCGTGAACACTGCCCAAACTCATAGTTTGTTACTCAAACTTTAATTGACTAACGCGGTATCACATATAACAAACTGAAGGCTTGCATGTGTAAAACCGAGAATAAAACCTTTAGATCAATATGTTTGCATTCAGTGATTCGCAGTTCTAACTCTCCTAACTATTTATACTTTTATGAATTTATTCCACTAACTATGAATGTGCTAATACTGTTTATTATAAAAACCAACGATCAATATTCCTGGTAAAATTCCTCGGGAAAACTGTGCTTCATATCATTATATATTACTTGAACTTCAAAACTCACATAATTGTATACGCGAACATCAAGATCTAGTTACATCATTAATAGCAATTCACACTATTTGTATAACCAGGACTGTGATAGTATAAATTTGAAAAACAGATTTATAATTTATTAACAGTAATATTTTGGATGGGAAAGACAATAACAATAGTTAATGAGTCAAATGAAAGTTTACATTGAATAGAATACAAAAATATAATAGACCAGTTGTTTGATAAATATATAGATCCTGATGCATAGTAGAATAGAGTTCGAAGTTACACATTTTTTATCATTCTCCTTCTTCCCCGCCGTTTCAACATAGTTAACATTCATTTTTTTCGAGATTCTCTATGGTGGTAAGACTGAAGTATTGAACCAAACTAACTGGAAGTTGAATTAAAGGATTTCAATTCAGTGATTTATGGGTAACGTGCATACATTTGAGCTTGAAAGTACTGGGTTTGATTTCGTTAGGAGTTTTGAATTCTCACTTCTAAAGAGTATCATGAACTAATTATCCAGCTTTATCTGGTTTTCTGTAATTTTCCATTAGCCATAAGTTCATGGTAAAAGTACCTTCAAACAATGGGAAATCTACCCATAACTACTTAAATAATTTACGTATACTTCATTCATGTGATTGACAGATAAAATACTATGTGACTGAAAAACAATGAAATTTTCATTATTATTTTGTGTATCATGAGTAAACTGTAAAAACACTCGAGTGAAATGAATTCACTTTAAGAATTTGTATCTTAGTTTAGTGTGTAAAAACATGACTGATTGATAGATTGCTGAAAATTTACTGTAGGTTCGGATTCCAGGAAGAGTTCTCCTATGACTAAAGAATACTTTATTTTGATGAGTGTTAGCTAATGAGACATCTAGAGAGATAGCTTCATGTGAATTAACTCTAATCACTAGGCCCTAAGTCACTATTATGTTGTTTGTTTGTGGTTTAAAACTTCCTCTTTTTTTCATTCATATATATAGATTATCGACTGTAGTTCACTGGAAAGTGCTATCAGTTATCCAGTACAAAACTCTTATTCCCATTTGAATGGCAATAAAAATCTAGACAGTTCATTAGAGAGTCGAACATATCAAAGTCTTATGTCAGTTTATCTAAATGATGTTGCACAAAAAAACCGAATTATCACTCCTACAGTTACTATTACTACTACCAGCATCAATAATACTCTTAGTGAAAATAACATAAGCACTAATCACAATATCTGTTTGGATAATAGTAATTATAACAAAGTTATCACATTACCTCCATTAAATATTCCAAATACTGACACAGGCATTATCAATGATGGATTATACAATACTGAAAAAATGAATTCATTTGAAAGTAATCAGTCAACTTTTTCTATCAATATTGATCATGATCATATAGAACAGCATAATAATTTCACTTATGATCTCCAATCGCCAATGATCAAAGAAAAATCTAAACGTCCAGTTCTATGCTTATTTAGTGCAAATCAATATAATCAAAAAAGACATCTTAAACGTAACAATTCAATCACCATTGATGATAATCATGATGATAATGATATTAATGATGATAACAATAACAAGAACGGTAATATTCATGATGTTAAACAAGATATTGATGTACGACGTTTACGTCAAAGTACAAATATCACCACTACAAAATTATCAGTTAATAATCAAATAAATAGAATCACTGGAAGTAGTAATAATATCAATAATAATAATGATAATATTTGTAATCATAATTTACATTTATTATTATCCAGTACAAATGAATGTAAAAGTTGTGTAAATTTACAAGCGTATGAATTATCACAAGATCGTTATCGTAATCCAAGTAGTGGATCAACTGTTAGTCAAATACCAAGATCTGATTTACCAGATGTTTACCTGAATGTAAGTTATTGGTGAATGTTGGTAATTTATCACAATTCACATCTATCTATTTAGATATATTAATGTTATTATCGTTTGTCTAATATAATTAAGTAACAAAAATTTCGAGGCTGCTTATTGCGTTTGAGCCAAAAGGTATTGAGTTTGAATCCCAGTATGATTATCGAAACTATGGTGTATGTACATCTATTTGACGTGCGTTTTGTATTCCATGTAGGGGTTGGTACTATTGAAGTGCCGCGATTCGTTAATCGTTCACTTAGATAACCGTTATAATTCTAATCTCAACGGTGCGTAAAATCAGAAGACAAAGGAAAGCAGCAACTACAGTTTATTGTCGAATAACCCAGGCTAAAAAGCTAACAACACCTGAGCGAATATCAACGAGCGAGTGAACAGGCGAACAAGCGAAGGAGCAAGCGAGCGAATAGCAAGCAATTACATAGGCAATTTATATTCAAATTTAATAAGGGCACAGTAAAACAAAACAAAGGCTGATGATAATATTTGCATGCATACATATATGGGGAGGAGTATGAGTCATTGAATGATATATAAGCAGTCAACATTTTGGATAGAGCGTCATGTGATTTAGTAGTATAACCGTGTAAAGAATATGCAAGAATATGTAAAGAACTATAACCGTGTAAAGAATATGCAAGAATATGTAAAGAACTATCCAAATGACGATGTCTGTTAAGTAAGTTAATAGAAAGGGCTTAACCAAAATTGACTAAAATCGAAATTGATTGTAGGATGGTTGCTATTACTATGTCAGCCCACATAGGTTATTCTAATCTCATTCTCCTCAGACCACATTTTTACTCCTTCAATTATTTGCTAATTAAATCCAACTGTTCTTTATGTTATCGTATTTGTACTAATTACTTAACCTAATCATCATGTGTCTGTAACTTATTTCTGTTTGACGATAAATATCGATTCACGCTTGAATAAATGCAGTTGGCCCACACGCCTTTCTCGATTGCGCATCGTTTCATTTCGCTTCGCTTTCTTCTCTGCGTTTTTCTAATTATCTGTTCTGATCGTCGATTGTACGAAATATACGTATCAAAATTCATTCTAGTATTTGGCTCAAATTTTTTATTCACTGACGCGGATTAAGTCGATAATATTATACGAGGGTAGCTGGGATATATAACTCGATAACGATCATCATACGATCAAATCGGAGCCAAAAAAGGGTCGCTAAAATGGTGAGCCCAAAGTGCCGATATGTCATTAATGTGATAATGAGAATACGATGATTATTATAAACATGGTGGAACGATATGCCAAATAGACTAGTGAGCAGAGTTGACATGAGGACAAAGTACCAATGAGATAATACAAATCGAGCATGTCCATATCACTTCTGTACTAGCTTCGTCGAATGCGTCGGATTAAAGTTTGAGTCGTTTGAGTTGCTCATCGATTAAGTCAGCATCCTTTATCGGATGCGTAGAGTTCATTGTTTGTTTAGGTTTGCAGGTTGTGTTTAGTTCGAGTTCGGGCTCACCACTTTAGTAGCCCTGTATCTGACTCCAGTTCGATCGTATGAATGATTGTTATTAAAATATACACACAATCAACCGCCGTATATAATAATCGAATTAAATCGCGTTGGTGAATAACGGAGTTAAATAAGTCAAGTACGTATATTTCGTACACTCATTGACCCGGACAGACAGTCAAGGGAAAACGCTCATATATCAGTTCACCTTGGTCAAAGGATGGAATTTCATATACACTTTAAAAAAACTTTGTCTACGGTATATAGCATACATAAGAAACAATACTTAATGAGTGAACATTTACTTAATCTGGTAAGCACTGAATAGTTGTTTGTCCTAGTATGGGACTTCGTAACACTACCAGGGATCGATATTTTTTATTAAGTGAATTAAACTTAGACATTTACCACTGGGTCCCGGCTCATTGGTCTCTGGTTTAACCATTTGTACTCTGAACCGAGGGTTCTGAGTCCAATCCTATGTGGTGGAGTTGTTGGTGCGTACAGCTGAGTCCCATCGTAAAACTAAGAGGCCCTCCCTTGCTTCCAGGTTTTTGATGTTTATCTAACTTAAATTAGTTTGTGACTTTAACAAGCAAAATAACACATCTTTCATTAGGGATGGTGTGGTCACAGACACAGAAAGAAGGTTTATTCAGCAGTCACAATAAGTCCCAGACGATGGTAAGGTAAATGTTGTTTGACAACGATGTTCATAACGGTTATCTAAATTGAAAATTAAAAGAATTATTTTTGATTCATACCTTTGACTAACTAAGCTCGTTGACCCTGAGCTTAAAGCACGAATTTTAAACCACTGAACAAGGTAATAGCTACAGATAAAATGACGAATGTAGGGATTTTTTCCACTAAAGCTTGAAACACTTGTACTGTTGAATAAGACTAATTGTATCAGTACTTCAACTAGCTTTATTTATATTCAACAACTGGATGGTATACCACCTTGGAACAGAACAAAATTATAACGTATAATTTGAGAATAGCTTAAACTGTTCAACTTTGTGTACATTGTGCTAGAATTCGATGCTCTACTTATCTCTTTGGGTTACTTATTTCTAGACACAAATTACTTATGATTTTCTGTCTACTTATAATTAATAAGTAACATAAACATGTTCTTTTGATTAAGATCATGAATCGATGGATGTTAGACCATCATTGAAAACCTTAAAGCACTAGAAGGCTGTTTCGTCCCAGTATGGGGCTCCTCAGCTGTGTGCATCCACAATCGTGGATGTGTATGATCTGAATAAAACATTTAGCAGTCTTCACAACCCCAAACTGATGAAAATGTTCTATGACCATGTTAGCTACCTTATTAACTGACTATTAATTTTCTTTCCATTGAAAGCCACCGTCAATGTCGACTCTACAGTCTCAACGAAGCAGTTTATGTGGCAGAAGTAGAATGGAATTGTTATATGTGGATAATGAACTAGATAGAACCAACAAACCCAGATGTAAACTTAGTACAAATGGAATAATTAGTTCATCAAACTTGGGGGAAAATTTATCGGACGTGATTGATTCTGATCATTGTTTCTCTGTGCAGCATGCAAATGGAGCTGGTGATAATTGGAGCTTGGTCGATGAATTGGTTATTTTTCCTCAACCACAAACTCTTGGATTTGTACGTAATCAAACTTTTAATGCAAAAAACACATATCATCAACCATTACCTCAACCATCCTTAAATTTGGCGCCATCCTTTTTTAAACCATATCAGCTAACCGATGATAATTTCGGTAATTTACCAGTCAAAGATAAAGAGCATCATATTAGTATACAACAACAACTTAGAAGAGCATTAAGTTTGTCATCTAGACGTAAATCACCTCGTTCATTAAATGAAGAAATTCAATCAATCATGGATAAACACTACGAAATGACAGGAATTAGAATGACAATTGGTAGTGGATCATCTCAAAAAAATTCAACGACTACCAAGTCTTATATAAATTTATTTGGATTGCAGACAGGCAATAAAACCCAGCCATCTAGGCCAAGAGTAAGTTTAAAATGTTCCATTTTTCCATATTTTTCCCAATCACATCTGTCAATCTTAGACGCTCTGTCAAATAAGTTTTCTTTCTAAATTTTATACAGTTACTCATATCTCATTTGTAGACATCTCCCTTCAAAAAATATAGTTTTATAAGCGAGAATCACAGTGTATTTTTTAAGTCAAGCTGTCAGTGAAATATCAAACTAAAACTAAATACTTTCAAGTTTCTTCGATAAGTAATATATGTGTTTTACCATAAAAATCTAGCCAGATTTCTCAAATAACTGATCCATGTAGCTAAATTTGAGTTAGTTTAATTCCTTTGAGACCCTACCGTTTTCTATGGTTAATTATTCTAAATCGTGTTTCTGTACTATGTATTAAGATTTGAGGTATCACACTGAACGTAAATTATAAATTTTCCTAAGAATAAGATAATCATACGAAATAATAGTTACTTACATACTTATGACTATAACCCCACGTGAGGCATTTTAACGGAGCTGTCGTCAAAATTAAACTCTTACATAGTCATACTTGGTTCAGAAATATATGGTTTTATAAAGACCATTTTAAAGATAATTTCGTCACGAATCAAAATCTTGTGAAGAGCAATTAAAAACAATAAAGCACTGAATACTTATTTGGTATGAGATTTCTTGACTGTGTACATTCACAACCTCTCCAAGAACTAACCCTGAAACCTGCCAAAAATATAGCTGGGGCATCACTGAGTTGAAACCTGACAGTCCGTAAATAAAACCTTCATTCAATCTCGATATTACACAACAATCCAATTATTAAACAAATAGCTTATTTATGAAATAGTCTAACTTCATTAATCAAGATTTCGTACTACAACTTAGTGATTCCATTTCGAAGCCAATCATTTGATTTGGATAACATATAAAGGTAATAACCATATAAGTTGTCGTGGACCTGGTGTTTCTTGTTCGACTTATTTCGCTTAAGCCAATTTTAACAGCAAGAATAAGTGGTATTATAAAGATCATATTACAATTTAGCTTATTTCCCACTATTGTAAGAATACTAACCATTCAGTTCATTAATTACTTACAACAATCGATTACAGTCCATAGAATACATCAATTTAGTTAAGAAAAATCAAATTCATCACTTCTGTAAACCAAAACACAATTAATTTGATACTGTTAAATGTGCACAAACAACCACTTACTAAGCGAAGTCATATTGAAGCATTTACTGAGTTAATGAAGGCATAAATGGAATCTTTATAAATACTCTAAACTAGATTGATAAACCATAGGTTAACTGAAAGTGTATCAATACCTCGGAAATGATCAAATTTATAAAATGATTATCTTATCCATAAATGAATCCAAGTTAGCAATACGTTATTGTCCTACTCTGGCCACAAAATTGATCTAATAGTTTACATTGCGTTAAGCTTTAGAACTATTGATTTACTTCAAATATCTGTTTCTGTTTAATATGTATTCTAATGTGCAAATGTATCATAAAATTCCTAGTAGGATAAACTATGAATAACCATTGTTACATGTAAATTAAAATTAATAATGTTGTAAACGTCATATCAGTTAAACAAATTGGTCACTACTCGGATTCAGTAATTACGTGGGACGCGTCAGTGTTTGAAGCAAGCTGTACTGAGTTTAAGCTGTAGTGGCTGGTATTATTTCAAGCCCACATAGATCATTCTGGATTCTGGACAGACCAATCTATTCATTATTCTTAAGCCACATTTTTACCCTGTCACTTATAATAATACGATAATACGAGCCGTGATTCTAATGTCAACCATTATTTACCCTAATCATCATGTGTCTGTAACTTATTTCTGTTTGACTATAAATATCGACTCACGCTTGAATAATTGGAGTTGGCTGACTAGCCTTCTCCACTTCACGTCATTTCGTCTTGCTTCTCTCTGTCCTCTTCGCCTTTCCACTTCTTATTCTGAATCTGTATGACTAAACGGATTGCCTGAAATAAATTCCTCCAACTACACCCCTAATTAGCTTCTTATTACCGCCATCAAATAAACGAGGTTAACCAGAGTAATATACGGAGTTAAATGGAAGACCTACATCCACGGCATATTCATATGTTCATCCAAATTAGAGTCAGATCAGCCGGCACTAAACATTTGTCCCAAATAAGGTAAAACGCTCGTCTTAGATCCTACCGCTTTCCACAGTTCATTTATTTTAAATAATATAATTCGTAAATCATTTGTTCATTAAATTTATTAGGCTTTCATTATCCTACGTTTTTTTCACTTTACACAGAAACGTCGATGCAGTTGGACATTCACAAAAGATATTACGAATGAATTTCAAACAAGTTTAAAAAATGTTTCAAGTGCACTACATTTAGATTGTCCTACTTTTGATCTTTTTCAAAAAAAATTTAAACCTAATCGTGAAAAACCATCTGTACTTGAATCATTATCTATGACTGCTTTACCATGTCTTATACCATTAAGACCACGTATTCAATCTGATGCAACAAATGATATGACTTCTATCAATGAAGAATTTATTGAAAGACGACCTGAAAGAAAATTTCATTCTGATTTAAATAATATAAAATTAATTGATTTCAGACGTAATAGTATGGTAACTAATGATAAAAGTGTCTTTATATATGGTATTGAAAAGAATATTAGACTTGTTAAAAGTAATTGGAATTTAACTAATGTATGATCAATTACAAATCAGAAAAGGTTTTGTGGAGATTTCAATATTTTCATAGTTGAAATCATGAGTCAATTGAAGCTAAACCACCATGGAAAACCTGGAAGCACTGGACGGACGTTTCGTCTTATTATGGGATCGTGGATGCTCACTGCTGAGGAGTCTCATAATAAGACGAAACGGCCGTCCAGTGCTTCCAAGTTTTCCGTGGTGGTCTAGCTTCAATTGACTCATGATTTCAACTATGACAATTACAAATCATCCATATCTATGCAGCATACTATGTAGATACGTTTTTTGAAATACCTTTATTTAAACACAAAGGATAAAACTGTACAAAATTTGTCAATGTTTTAATAATGGTACTACTTTCCTATTTAACATGTTCTTATTTAACTTGTTCATTGTTTCTATGCACTAATATTCTAGATATTATTCAGTGCAATATTGAACATCATGTCTTGTCATAACAGTTGATTTTCTATGTATTTCATTAACTGTTGTAAATAATTTTTAAACAAAATATGGAATTTGAATTTATAGCCAACCTTTTTTTGTTGTTGTTGAACATATTGGGAAGTAGAGGCTTTGTGTTAACGAGGAAGAAGAAAAGAATTATTAGGTCTTTCTGGAATAGATCTCATTGCAGACTAACTTTAGGTAAACAGTCATCAAAAGCAGAGAAAGTAAAGATAGTGGTTGGATCTAGTCGATATAAAACACTTCACTTAGATTTACTGATATTTGGTACTACTTGTCAATTAGACGTAATCGTAATCTTGAGAGAACTTATGCTTTCTTAGGGATTTTATCCAGTATCATCAGGTTCATAGTCAGAAATGCCACCATTGATCTGTTCCAGAGGTGGCTGACTTTTTCTTAACTCAGATATATTTACAGTTGGTTGATCACTCAGTCGTTGTGCTTTCAAGTCCTTCTTATTGTTAAACGAATTCAATGGATTAAGCTACAATGTAGACATTAGCTTAAAAAAATCCAGGGCCAAAGGTTACCTTCAGACTATATCCAATCATCACTTTTTGATGTCAACAAAGTGCACACTTTGTCGAGTCATTTACACACATTTCATAATAAATTAGTTTGTAGTTTCTATCTATTATGATAGATATATTAACATGAGATTCTATTCAGCACTGGTTTCATAATGAAAATCTATATTGTGAATTACTTATTAAAATAAATCAAGAATCGATAACTAATGTTAACGAATTCTAATTTCGGATAGTGTAATGGAAAGACGAAGATTATCAGAACTGTGTGATATAATAGCGCAATACATTTCGAAAAACCTGATCACACATATGCTTATTAAAAGCATTACATATGGAAAATTATAAAGTTAACAAAGGAAATGAAAGGTGAGGAGAAACAAAGATAACTATAAATAATAATAATTTTAAAAGCAATCTACAACTCACCACGTTAGATAATAGACTAATATTACTAATGTAGGTTCAGAGTGAGAACACATAGTTCAGATAATCTTTGCCTTTTCATTACATTTATCAAAAGAACTAACTATTTTAAATAAGATTTTTGACTAAAATGATCACATTTTCTTATGAAAAATACTTTCAAAGTAGATCTTTATTGAGAAATTTTGATAGACTGTAGTGTTGACTACTTATATCCACATAAGTAGTATATAATGAGATTCGAGCATTCTATGTATTTCAGAAGAAGATCGATAAGGAAAGATCGGGAACGGAATGCAATTGAGGTGAAAATGTATGAACAATGAAATTAGAGACGATGGACTGATATTTGCAGAAGGAACATTGAAGATTTTGACAATTGATTAATAGATCAGAGAAAGTTTTGTGGAGAATTTAGTATTTTCATAGTTGAAATCGTGGGTCAACTGAAGCTAGACCACCATCAAAAATGGCCATCCAGTGCTTCCAGGTTTTCGATGGTGGTCTAGCTTCAATTGACCCATGATTTAAACTATGAAAATTGATGAATAGTTTGCAAATTAAATGTTTACTGTATGGTTGTCAGATTTCAGTGAGATATTCTGTAATTTTGTGCTCAAATACATTCGATTGTCCCCACTTGTCTTTTTATTCACTACAAGACTACTCAGAATACAAATGGTTTGTTGTAATAGATTTTCGAATCATATTACTTATCGATTAACTGTAAGATTTGAAATTTAAAAACTGTATAATTTACCACGTCTAAGACTTTTTTCATTATTAATGACGGTAGGTTACTTTTCCATTCATTCGATACTGGCTGCCTTAATAATGTTTTTTCCGTTAAGTGTAAAACTGTAAAAAATACATACAACATGAAAATGAATAATTAACTTGTTCAGTATACATTATACTAGGACGGAATGGCCGTTCAATGCTTCCAGGTTCTCAATAGTGGTCTAGCATAGATCGGTTCATTATCTTAATAAAAACTCAGTCATCTCCAAAACCCTATACCAAACATTAAATGTTTTCCAATTAACATGGACTAGAATTTATAAATCAATCTACCACACTGTTTTTCGTATTGTAGTGAACAAGAGCACAACTAGGGACAATCGATTTTTTTTTAACACAACATTACAGAATATCTCATTAAAATATAAAAACGATATAGTGAACAGTTAATTTACAAAATAACAATCGATCGTCTCAATTTGACTGTTTCTTTCTTTTCGTCCATTGTCTCCGATTATAATTGTTCATACATTTTCTTACCAATTGCGTGCCGTTCCTGTTCTCCCCTTATCAATCTTCCACTGAAATACATTCAATACCTGACTATCACCATTTACTACAAATGTGGTAATCATTAACACACACTACATTATTACCTGTTTGACTGTTTGCGCTGCTTCGTGAGTTTTCATCTTCAGATTTGCAAATATATATATATATATATATACCATTTAAAATGTCAAATTTTCTACGCCTTAATTATTTATCTTCAAACAGTCGTGACTAAAGAACTCAGTAGAATTGAAGTGACTATTTATCGACTACTTAATTCTTTTCAATTTTTATTTTAAGTATTTTGAACTATTAGAGGGTTCTTGATTTCAATTCAACACTATAGTGTCATGATCTTTCTAATATGACAAGAACACAAACATATTCTCAGAGAGAGAAAGAAAGAAAGAAAGAAAGAAACACTTGCACGCACAATTAACAATATGAGAATAATAGTTGAAAATAACTAAAAGTTGAATGGAAAAAGAAAATTGTAATGAATACACGCATTTTGTAAATTTATTATTCCAATAAAAGTAAATGGAATCGTTTATGTGTATGTATGTTTGTGTGATTGAATGAGAGGGGAACAAATGAAAATAAAATAATCTTACCAACAATAAAAAACAGTATAGATAAAATATGACACGAAATAAATAGTGAAAACTATAATGACATAAGAAATAATGACAAGAATTATATTCTTTAATAGGAGATATAATCTTCCACTCCCTCTCCCTCTCTCTATATATATATAGAATTGTATAGGGGAAAAATCTGTTATATAATTAATCACTTTGATGACGTATTTACATCACAAATGAATTCCAATTTACGTGTATATTCATGAGTGATCACAACTGATAAATTTAAAATAATAAATAAGAAAACTATTCAATGTTCTATGATGTACAATGGTACTTCAGTGGAAATCAATTCTTGATGAGATGTATTCATAAATAACAATTTGGCTTATTTGTCTTCATCTACCGTAGGTTGTTGCTTTAAGTATTCAAGTCAATGGACATTGGGGTATCTTGCGCAGATAATTGTTTATATTATACTTGTACATTATTGATGAATTAAGAAATCAATATATATCCATTATTTTAATCAATAGTCATTTATTACACCTTATTTAGAGGAAATCTGTAACATTAAGACTTTGGATACATCTCATTATGGTTAAATTACAGGTCAAATAGACACTTAAAGAATTATGGATTTTCACTAATCTTTAAATGTCATTATATTTGATAAAAGAGAAATTGTCTTTAAACACAAAGTAAAGATTACAGTTTTATCAAACTGATGTGTGGGCGAGAATGACAGTGATTGGTTATCTTGATGAGTCAGACATTAGAGGGGATGACAGATGTTATGTGTTATATATATATTTCCCTATCCTTATTATGTATTGACTTCTTGACTGTTTCTTGTTGATGGACACTTATTGATTGACTGTTCCTTGTGTCGGATTTCGGTGTGGAAATATATTGACGTTATAGTCAGGCTAATCTCGTGTTCTTGATCTGAGTTGTGTCGAAGTCCTGTAGAATAGACACTGGGTGGGAATCTAGTGTAGATATTCGTCTAAGATAAATTAACGTTCCACATACGTGTAAGAAGTAAAAGGACTGTTATAACAAGAACACCTACTGTTATAACCAGCATCCTCTCCTTTACGTTTATAACAATTAGCGACGGCATACTTACGTTTATAACACAAACTTAAATAACTGATGTATAAAACATGTCAGATTACATTGTTATTATACACATAAATAAGTTTATGGAAAAACATTAGCATTAAAAATGAAGTATGAAGTTATTTTAAAAATTATTATTTTCGTAATAGAATCTTTTTGACAACTTTTAATATAGGTCCTGGGTTAGAATCTCGCGAGGCGGGATCGTGGATGCGCACTTTTGAAGAGTCCCACAATAGGATGAAACGGCCGTCCAGTGCTTCTAGGTTTTCCATGATGGTCTAGCTTCAATTGACTCATGATTTCAACTGTGAAAATACTAAATTCTCCATAAAACCTTCTCTGAATTATTTTTTCCTCAGTTAAGGGTTGTGGAGTTTATTGAGTTCAGATTGATGTCATGATAATAAACAAGTGTTCACCAGTGACTAGCTTCAAGATGGGTTTCCTGAAGTTTGGATGAGAAGCCGTGACCAGTGGAGTTCAACTGTGTCTGTTGTGAGGCAGTTACTCACTGAAGAATATAGAAGACGATAGAGCAATATCGTGTATTGTTTGAAGTCAGACATTAACACTGTTGGATGCCAAGTCAGTGGCCTAGAGGTTGGGTGTTC